AAAACTGTTCTGATTTTAGACGGGTTTCGCTTGCCCTTTTATACTCGCAGGTTCGCCGAATTCCTGGAATTTCTGTGACGTCAGAATATCTAAATTTTCATATAAATTCGTTATTATACATTAATTATAAAATTGAACGGTTTAATTATATTTTAAATGTCGCTCTCTAATTTCTGGCTAACAGTTCGATATTAAAATAATAGTGTAACGATGTTTTAGCGAAAAATATATTTTCTATCCTTTTCTAATTAATTGCGCACGAATTCTACGAGTCGAATCTATTCCGATTTACAGCTTTTTAATTGAAGAAAATAATTGTGGTTCCGGCCATGAGTAGTTTAATACTGGTTGATTTTACGTATATAAATTGATTTAGCTAATTAATTAATTTAATGCTTGATAATGCCGTAAATAGAAATAGTATCGCTTTCGTAATTGATAATTGTGAATTTAACGATATGAAACTCGCTATTTAATACTTTATATTGGACCGTATCTGAATCGGGTCTCTGATAAAGCAAACTTCGCATTCGCAATATTAACTAAATTTGATGTTCGATTTTTGTGTTCGACGCTATCACAATGACAAGATTTTACCTCTAAATCAAAATCATAAGTTAATTAATATAAATGAAAATATATATATATATATTGATTACCGACTGTCGAATTTGATAGATATGGTAATAGATACCTAATGTACTGTCGATAACTGGCAACTACGGTCCATAATTGACTATTCTAATCGATGGATAGAAGATTGTCGCGATGATGCCGGTAGAAAGAAAACAGGTTTCCCCAGGGACGTTACACATGTACGAAAATTTCGAGATCAAATATTAGATATTGTTCAAAATTTGAGGCTATTTCAAGCTCATGTGCATACATAAGTAGGATTTTTCTTGTATTAGCCTTCGAATGAAATACGTTACGATACAAACATGTTATTTATTCAACATGCTCTGGTAACAACGACAAATTTGTATAGTGGACTATTGTTCACGGGGTTATCGGGGTTACGCTTTTGCCAAATTCTTTGCAGACTGGAGCAAGTGTTAACCTGTACGCGATGTAATTTTCACTTCTTGTTTTATTAAAACGTGACCTATGTTTGTAACCAATGACGTGATCTTTGAATTCCGTTCTGAATTTATGGAAATAGAAATATGAAGAAAAGTCGGCATTTTTATCTTCAGACATGTGAGATTGTGGTCTCATGCGTGACCTCATGTCTCTCGAGTGAAAACTGTCAACAGACTTTGCTATTTTCTTTCCAGAGATAGGCTTTGAAACGTTAACAGTTTAGTGAAATGAATGAAAGTGTTCTGAGTTTTTTTTAGAACGGTAAAAACAAAAGTAGGGGAATAGACTCGATCATCGGTTATCAAAGAAACTGCTGCGTATGAGGAAAACCAAGTATTATATGTTTTCAACGATTATATGGCATCTCAGAATATTTTTCCGTTAATTATTCATTCCGCCGAATAGATACACCGCGAGGGCGTATAAATGCTCTAAGTCGACCGGATGTATCATTTTCCGACGAGCTACGGTCAATAATGTGGCTGCTTTTGACACTCTTGGTGCTTGGTAAATTCAAATTTGATGAAATAATTTTGTAAACGTCTTTTAAAAAATTATTGGTGATGTGTTGGGTAAACGTGCTACTGTTCGAGTTTGGTGCATTTCAAATTCAATATCAGCGAAATTAGATGTTCCTCAAATTCTTTGTAATTCTTGTTTTATGATGTTTTTAAATTTGCCATGAAGCGATTTGACATTACTCAAATTCGACGCGATTTAAATTCGATGCAATTCAAATTCCACGTGGTGCGATTTTTACATAGTGCAAATTTTATGTGGTACCAATTCGACATAGTTCAAATTCAATGTGGTACCAATTCGACATAATTCAAATTCGACGTGTCACTAATTCGACATAGTCGAAATTCGAAGTGATAAGAATCCAACGTAATTCCTCGCTATGTACCTTTACATAACACATTTCAATTTGACTTGACATACACCTAGTCTAATATCACCACCCGAAAGTAACAGCGTTCCGACTCCCTGCCTAATCCTTCGATACTACGATTTACTTACTTACTTTCGATACTATGATTTACTTACTCTACTTCCTTACACACCAAATTTACCGAAGATTCGTATATCCACAGCGGGACTGGTATCTGCCGAAAGCAACTATGGCTGGAAGGTCGGCAACGAGTACAGCTATGTGGTACAAAGTCGCACGTTCACAACTTTGGACGAGTTCCCCGAAGAGTATGCGGGTATCATGATGAGAGGATACCTCACGGTGCAAGCTAAGGACGAGGGCAAGCTAACCGCGAAACTAACAAAGGATCAATACGCTCACGTCAACAGCAACCTGCCCATGGGCTGGGACGAGGACATCCCCGACCAACAGTTGGTGCCCCATGATATACCCATATCTGAAAAGCCCTTCGACATTAAGCTGAAGGACGGCTTGATCGATTCCGTAATCGTGGAGGAAGATGTTCCTAACTGGGAGGTGGTACTACTCAAGAGTATCATCAGCCAGTTCCAGGTGGACATCAAGGGTAAGAAACTCGTGGAGGGACACGATGTCAAGGTTCCGGATGAGAATGACCCTCGGGGAGGGTTCACGGTATTGGAAGACTACTTCGCTGGTTTGAACGAAGTTCGTTACGACTTCAAACCGCTGTCGGAACAGCAGTTTCGAACTAGGCCGGAATTGGTGCCGAAACCTGAACTGAAGGGCTCAGGACAACACATTGACATCGTCAAGACGAAGAGATATGACAGGTATCCGGAAATGTCGGAGAAGGTGTTGGGCATGACGCGGCAGATGAAGAAGGAACCTAAAACTAACAAGAACCTCATGTCGGTGAGTAGCTATGTCCTAAGTGTAGTGTCCTAAATTGAATACATGTATGACATATCACAAAATAAGAATAAATCACGTAATCTTTCCACAGCCTAAGCAATTTATGTTTATTCTGTACATGCGTAAACCGCAGTGATAATCGAATCTCGGAAATTCTGTTGCAGAAATCTTCCATCAGTAGAATCGTCATCTCAGGTAGCCTGAAGGATTTCGTTATCCAGTCGGCGGTGTCTACCAATAAGATGACCATCACTCCCTCGTTCAATGACGCGCAGAACAGCATGGTGCTCAGCAAACTGACCCTAACTCTGGATTACATGCACGAGATCAGGACTCCAATGCCTTCGCCAACGAAACCCAAATCCACCGGCTACCGCATCTCTTTCGAAACCACCCCGTCCTCTCTGGAAGATGTTCCCAAGCACCCTGTCTGGCCTAACATCATCGATTACGGAGGCAAATTTATTAGAGACTCCCATGAGATTAATGGTTTAACTGCAATCGGCGATTTACTCTTGCAAATTTCAAATGAACTGACGGACCCGAATACGATTCCTGAGCAAAATACCCTAGACAAATTCACTCATCTCGTCAACATAATCCGCACCATGAACAGGAATCAAATAGCGGAAGCTGAGAATTGCTTGGAGATCTCGCCCAAGAAACTCAAGTGGGGCGACAAGGCTGACGCCTTTAGGCAAAACCGTTGGTCCGTTTTTAGGGATGCTGTCACTCAAGCTGGGACTGGACCTGCTTTGTTGACCATCAAAAATTGGGTCCAGAATGGGGACTTGCGGAGGGAGGAAGCTGCTGAAATGCTGTCCAAAATCCCGGCGTCTGCTCGGCAAATTACAGCCAAATACACCGAGGCGTTCTTCGTAAGTGTTATCAATGTTTATGCACGAGGCCGGAAAAATACAAAGATATCTATGAGATCCGTATTACATAAGTTGTGAATGCATAAACAGCATACAATTCACTCTCAGTCTACATACCGTGTAATCTTTATTTTTTTTAAAGGACAGTTTGAATTATATATGTGTAAATGATAAATTATACATATATTCTATAACAAAAGAAGAAAAGATATTAGACCGTTTTCACATTTCATTTTGTCCAGATATTTCATTACAATCATATAAACGAACATGTTGGGTGAGAACCCTCAGATAATTTGTCTTTTATTTGTCTCTTAGTAAAATAAGACCCGGTATTGTACTAAAAATGCTTGAATATTTATTCTTCAGGAACTGGCCACTCATCCACAAGTCACGCAAGCGGCACTCCTGAACGTCACAGCGATAACGGCGTTCTCTGAACTGTTGTTCCTGTCTCAAGGAAATGATAAGAGCATCTACAAATTCTATCCCGTGCACACAACGGGTCGTCCCTCCGAGGAGCAATACTCGAATATCGTCAATAAGTACATCCCATACTTGGGGGTACAATTAAAGAAGGCCGTGGATGATGGCGACAGCGCAAGGATCCAAACCTACATCGTTGCTCTGGGTACCATCGGAATGTACGAGGTGCTCCCCGTCTTCGAGCCTTTTCTGACAGGCAGGGAGAAAATGACAGCCTTCCAGAAGACGTTAATTCTCGCCAGTTTGAGTAACTTTGTCGCGAATCATCCGAAGAAGGCACTGCCGGGCTTGAAACAGATCTACATGAACAAGACGGAGAGTCAGGAGGTGCGTTGCATGGCCGTCTTCCTGATTCCAATGACGAATCCTCCTCTGGAGGTGCTGCATGAAATCGTGCAGTTCAGCAACAACGACAGCAGCAAACAGGTCAAGTCCGCGGTGAAGTCCACCCTTCAGGGCCTGGAAGATTTATCTGACCCAGAATGGCAATCGTTGGCGAAGAACGCTCGGGCTGCGTTGAAGTTATTGAACAGCAAGGATTACGACCCGCTGAAATCCCACGAATTCATCTTTAACAAGATGAAAGAAGAGAACCTTTTCACTAACACTCTTCTTAATTACATCGGCAGCGACAATAGCCCGATCCCTCGTACCATCTACCTTGCGTCGATCCTTTATGATGGCGACTTCAAAGGATCCCCTGTAGAACTTATGACTATGATTCCCAACATG